GGAAGCCTTCTAATGCTTTAGCCTAGATTTTATCATAACTGTAATTAAGCAATTGTCATTTGTAATTGTTCGACATTTGTGAAAGCGAAAGTGGGTTCGAGGTGACAACTGGTCGCCGAACGTAGCCACGGTCACGGGATAAACGTTTTGCCTGACGAAGGTGTGGATCGGTTGTATCGTTCTCCCTAGAAATCACATAGAATTGTACTTTAGAGATGCTGATATAATGGGACACACGTTGTATTAGGAATCAATCTCCAGACAGAAACTGTCTAGTATCGGCGTTTGGATCTTTCTCGATGTTTCCAAAGAGTATACAACAAACTTTTGACAGAAATTGCCTAGCAACAACGATTGGAATCTTCTCGATATCTCCAGCGAGCATATAACAAACAAATGCAGTCGTATAGCGAAAAAGATTATCATCAGATATTCATTGGTGTGATCGCCTTGGAAAGTGATTCATCGAGCAATTTACCGAGTGTCTCAGCAATCGTATTTTTGTGTTTAAAATTATTCTACGCATAGCAAAGAGTTATCCCGTTGACCGCGGCGTCGACCGTGGATTCGTTAGAACCCCGGAAACATTGTTAATAGCGTTAATTAAATTCATTATTCGTTAAACCTATCAATCGTTAATCTCATTATTCGTTAAATTTATTATTCGTAAAACATATTATTCGTACCTCTTATTGTTCGTTAAACTTATTATCCTTTAATGTAATTATTGGTTAAACTTATCGTCTGTTAATCTTATCATTCATTAAACTCAATATTCATAATATTTTGTAAAATCTTGTATATTCGCGTAAATATAATCTCTGTCTCGTAAAACGATGGCTAACTCAAACAAAGAATCGTTACGCGTCTTAAATCCTAATGATAATCCGACATATATATATGTGTGTGTACGTGTTTTGGAAATTAGCGCGTTGCTAACAGACTTGAACGATTAATCAGCATTATATTTAAAAGCGTCGATCAGTCTGCCTGCAAGAAAACAACAAACCCATGTACTTGACTAATCTCCTTGACTAATCTCTAATGACTGTAGGGCATTTGGCGTATTGCTGTGGGAAATTATGTCTTTTGGCTACATACCTTATACCGGTTGTACTAATAGAGAAGCCATGACAATGGTAACGTTAGGAGGGCGTCTAGAAAAACCAGCGGGATGCCCTGATCCTATTTATGGAATAATGACACAATGTTGGCACCCACGTCCCGAAGACCGGCCTAGTTTTGCTACTATCGTCGAGAGAATTGGTTACTGTTTACAGGTAAAGTTGATTAACTTATTCGTTAGTTGTAATTGAAGTAATTAACATGCTTAAAGTTGTGAAGTAGAATGTTATACTCTGATCGTAAACGATCATTGCATGTATTTCTAAATGTGTCACAATGTTTGCAGCCATCGTCCATCTACCATGTAATAAGCAGAAAAATTACAGATAAATATCCTAATGTTAAAATGTCCTATTTATTTCTACTATCGTTCTCAGCTTTTAAAATAAATTATTTCGAAACAGGTATAATAGGTTCTCTTCAGATATTCTAAATTAGAATACGTAATGATGATTTAACAACAGGTCTACATCCTTTTAATCCTTTCAACTTTAATTTTAAAATTAAACAATTTACATCCTTCTCTGGTGGTTTTACTAGTTTACAGTGCAGATGTACACGATTTATTACGCTTTAAAAAGGAATAACTTTTTGAAAGTTTGGCCAAACGACTTGAGCCCTTTGGAGAAGCTAGAAGGACGACTAGTTTATTAAATTACTTGCAAAAAGATATCTTGGAAAAATTGGCGTTGGTCGGAATTGTAAAGAAAATAGTAAAGGTCACTTTGACAATTATGTATTGGCAAACACATTATCTTTAATATATTGCCTCAAACTTAACACCTTTGTCTTTTCTTTGTACACAGTACAACATTATACACCTATATAAACGAATCCTGGACGAGCTTGAATCTACTATGGATTACCATTAATGATCTGGATTAGTCTTTTAAGATTCGGCCTCAGGTTTGGCCGATAATAACGTAATTATAACTCGTATTAATATTCCAATAATTTTAGTATTTTACATCATGTTTTAATTTTTATGTTTTATTGCTACTATCTGAAATTGGAAACATGGACATCAAGGAATTTAATTACTCGTCTGTCAAAATCGTTTTGCTGTCGGAACTGATTCTCCAAGACATTTCTCACAGTCTCTATGCAGTTGTGAATAATTATTTAGATTCGTAAAGCATGATAGAAAGATAAAGAGATGGATCAGTGGCTGATGGACGTTAACAAATCGCCAAGCGCCACTGGATATATTTCAAGATACATATCGTGTGTGTCTCGTCTAATAATGTATGCACATTCGTACGTAGATAGAGGGATTAGGGTAGTGATAGGGCAAATAAGAACCTAATCGTAAGTTGGAATAAGAAGTAAACGTTAGAAATACAGTTTGTTGAAGGATGAGAGAGACGGATGATCGTGTAGTGGTGAGTGTTGTGTAGGAGGATGTTGATGTTGTGTAGGAGGCTGTGTAAGTCAGGTTCACGTTCTTTAGGCGGCGAAGTCGAAAATTAAATAATATACATAGGTGCAAAAAATTTCATTGACATCGGTTAGCGTTATTATCAGCTACAAACAGTTCAAACATTATTATAAACACGCCTTAGAAAATAATCGTCGATGCTGCTTTATAATCACGTAAGTGAAGTTAGAAGTGTGAACATACCTTACTATTATACAGGGTGGTTGGTAACTGGTGGTACAAGCGGAAAGGGGGTGATTCTAGGCGAAAAAAGAAGTCGAAAATATAGAATAACAATTTTTCGTTTGAGGCTTTGTTTTCGAGAAAATCGACTTTGAATTTGCGTGCGGTACGTTATAACGGATCTCACTGTAGATCGTTGTCTCGATGGAAAAATTAAAAAAAAAATTTTTATTCTATATTTTCGACTTCTTTCCGCTTGTACCACCAGTTACCAACCCTCTATAAGAGTTTTCCACTGTTTGACCTATGACTGTGACAAATTTTAATGTTTCGTAACTTGTTGCTTGTCTTCGCATCGACCAATCTCGATAAGATTTCATATACATATGTGTATCACTGACATAAATCCATAAAACGTATTGTTTAAACTTTTATTATAGGTTCAGATAAAAAAATCTTGTAAAAAGCGAGCCTACTATCTTTTTCATTACACCGTTAAATTACAATTTAAAAAAAAATCCCCCTAAACTTATCAAAGAAACTCGAGTCGTCTGGTCCAGTTTTGAAAAAGTTATTCTGTTTTGAAAACTGTCCGAATATTATTTAGAGTCACTTAATATAGAATATCTTATCGTCGATGTATCAAGAACGGAGTAAGCAAATTTCAATAAATAACATCTATCCTTAGGATCCTGACGTGATAAATCATCCAACGCCAAATTTCGACATTTTACCAATCTGCGATCGGGAAGTGACGATCATGAGACCAGATCCGGAAACGGAATGCATTAACGTACAGTCAGAAGTGAGTAGCGGATATCGTTTGATATTTCCTCTAAACTTTTAACTTTACAAACTATCTGTTTCGCGACACTTTTCTAAGCATCCACACTTCCTATGTAAATACTATAATTTTTATAGCTGGACGCATGTGGATACATGCAACCCAGAATTATCGATCCGCGATCGGCTAGTCAACGTATGGCTCAAGCTATTGCGGGCAATAATCCTAATGCGAGAAACGAAAATCCGAACCAATTGAATTCAAATGAAAGAAATAACGTGCAACCGACAGACCGTCTGCAAGGACGATTTCAATCTAATCCGTATGGCTCTAATACAGATACTTCTGAGCAAACCTTCGGCGGAAACGCGAGTCGCGATGATTTTAGTGATGAGAATAATCATACAGAGGTACATTGGATAAAGCCTGGAAATATTTCTTTTTCTGGCATACATTTCTTTTATCATCGTTTAAATAAATTTTTGCTTAGCATTTTGGCTAATTGGAAGTTTGGTTTCTCAGTATTTTTTACAAGTTTCTTATCAACTGCTCTAATATAAAGTATAATTACATTGAATTAAAAATTATTCAAATAAATCAAATATAATTATTCACGAAAATATTCGCTTCTTATCTTATACATATATCCAAGTCAAAGTTTCCAGTTGTTATTGCGTATGTGTTATATGAACCTTGATTAACAAATATGCTTTAAACTAGGATGCGTTTGACTGAGAAACGATGAATCGATCGATGGTCAGATATTCTTTTCCTTTCATTATCATTCGCACAGATAACGGTATCTCTTAAAAATAGCTACTTAAATTATAAATTGAAAATTAATTGTTTTTAATAAATTATTATTATTAATTATTATTAATAAATAATTATTTATTAATAACTGTGTATAATGCCTTAGAATGGAAATTCAATTTTAATCGATGCTTATACTAACATAGACCATAATGCCTGATATTATGACGAATTAAAAATTATTTTAATAACTGCAATGTATAATATAATGAAGCATAGATATGTATATAAGATGGAGGGATATTTGTGTGAGTAACTGTGTATGTGTTTGTATATCATATAAAAGTGCTGTCGCTGCTGCCTTTTCCTTTTTTTTTTTTTTTTTTTTTTAAAT